CATGACTATAGTTTAACTTCTTTTCTATCCTACGGGGCTTTGAAAGCACATCACCTTTGCTGCTGCACAAGCCCCAGCTCAAAATGTGGATGAAAAATACACTGCTGGCCAAGACGGAAGGGCTCCTCAGCCAAGTTAATAGACAGAGAGAATTACCTTAACCTCCTTTCAGATTCAGCATCATTTCATACAGAAGTTACAGGACCCAGTGTTCCCCTAGACCACACTGTCCAATGGAACTTTCTATGATCAGACATGTTCTTTATCTGCACTGTGCAGTACAGTAACCATATTACTGTGTGGATATTTAATTTTAAGTTAATTAAAATAAAAATGAATTTAAAAATTCAGTTCCTCGGGTGCACGAGCACATTTTAAGTGTCCTGTAGACATATGCGGCTAAAGCAATTGTAGTGGAGAGGACAGCCCTGGATCAATGTTTCTCAACCTTGGCTGTGCATTATAATTACCTAGACAGCTGCAGGAATACAACCATCTGCACCTCCCCCTTCCCATTCTGTTGTGGTTGTTCTAGGCAGGGCCTGGATTTCTGGATTTTTCACAACTCCTAAGTAATTCTAATGTCTTCCAGGGTCAGAAGCTGTGCCTTCACTGTCTAGAACTGTGTGGCCAATTCTGTTTTGCTCTTTCTCCCATCATCCTTGCAGACTAACTACCCTCTAAGAGCGCCATATGGGTTGTTTCTGGTTTTCCCTGAGCCCATGACTCCCACAGATTTGATGGCACAAATAATCATAGTAAGTAAGACTAGAAAGTGGGCAGAGGATGTGATTTAGTTCTGCTCAAGAATACAGGCAAGGAGTGACCACGTGGGAGCTGTTCTTCCCATGGCACCAGGGCGGGGGGATGTCCAGAGGGGGCAGAGTTAGGGGTGTGTGAGGGACCCCTGAGGCATGTTTGCAAACCCAGGACTGGGCCTAGGCTCCTTAACACATCCAGCAGCTTTGTTCCTGCTGCCCGTGTTACCCTTATACACTGCCTTCTCCTCTGCTAGAACTCAGACAAAGAAAATCAGCAGAGAGGAAGAAAAAAAAAAAAGAACAATACGAATCTCAGGGTAGGTATTTGGATTCATGTCACCTGGTCTTTTTGTTGTTCTGCTGGGGTAAGAGCATCCAGAGATCCTTCATGAGGGACATATCCCTTTACAATAGGGTGGCCGTTAGGACATCTACCGGCAAGGAAACGTTTTGTTTCTGATGGAAATCTGACTATCCAGACAGTAGAGAGATCACAATCAAACTTTTCTGCTAGGTGGTGTCCTGGAGGAACACCCGGGTCCTAACCTTGGCAACACACAGAGAGGAATTCAGTTTCCTCACCCACCAGGCAGTGGTCACACATGGCTCAGCATCACAGTGTTGCTGAGAAGCAAGAAGAAGACAGAAGAATAGACCCAGTCAGCACACAATTTTGGAGTGTCAGATGCTGGGGCAGACTGGGGAATGATGGAGATCATCATCAACCTTTATAGAGCAGATATTTTGATAGTGGAGTGAAAGGCATATAGATAATTAATAATGGAATATTCAGAACAAGTGCTGATAATGGTAAGTTCTATAAAGAAAGTAAAATAGTGTCATGAGGTAGAGAGAAATGGTGGAGAGACAGAGGGATGTCCCAGCACATGGTGCTTAGGGAGTTCTCCTTGCATAGGGAACATCTGGGCTGAGGACTGGATGTGCATTGCAATATACACTATGCCACACAC